GCAGGTCCAAGTACCGCCGGATGACCGCGGCCTTCGTGAGGTATTGTTGACGCTCTGTCACAAGATGGAAGGCCTTTCTGACGAAGTGCGAACTTTGCGACGCGAGGACGAATCCCTGCGAGTGCACCTAGCGCGGAACACCGACCTGCTACGTTACTGCCTCGACGCTCTTGCCTGTGCCCCTGTTTGCCAGAGTGCACCAGTACCTTCGTCCATCGCGGCACAAGAGACTGGTGCTTCCGCTCTGCCGGTACCCACCGACTGGCCAACCATCGAAGAGGCCTCCGTACATCTCCGCGGAGGGCTGTTCCACCGACCGCTGCAATACGCCCAAGTAGCAAGAGCCCCTCCGAACGACGGACGGCATCAAGCACTACCAAGTGGACAAATCAAGTCGAATGCTGCTACTGATTAGACCCGTGCCAGCACGCCCAAGGCCACGCCCGGAGTCCTCAGTCGGTTCAAACCGCAGCAGTGAGTTGCGCGCCGTTCCGCAACCACGTGCGTACGGCAGTGTTCGTGTCGTGTTTGCATGAGTCAACTTCCGACGACGACGTGACCGCTGATGTCCTCACAGTGGTTGACACTAAAAATTTCGTTTGTACGAAGTTGCGGACAGAGCACAACATGTACTCATTGTTCCATGTATACGTGGAAAGTTCAGAGCTCGAAAATTTGCTTGTAGCTGACATTTGGCATGAATGTAGTCTTTTCAGGTAATTTCTTGATCCACTCAGAACGGGCAATGCTTGCCCGTGCCGAAGCGAACCCTGACCTCCAGACTCTTGCAGATCATTTAGGTGTGTGAGCTCCATCGCGCGATGAGTTGCAAACAAGCCAGCCGACATTGCATCCGTGTATCTGGGTTTTAGTCCTGACGTCGTTATAATTACGAAGACGTGGCTAAACAGCGAGATAGCCAACTCTGAGCTGTTTCTTGCTGATTACCAATTTTCCGTCAGGATCGCCTCTCGAGATGCGGTGGCGTCGCGGTGCTAGTAAAAAGTTTCCTGTCCTGCACGCCCATTCAAGACACGGGTGACCATGAAACACTATGGGTCAAACTACAGACCGGCCGTGACTCTTTTCTTATCGAGGCAGTATATACAGGCCACCAAACGCTAATATATGCCACTTTGAGAGCATTTTAGACATCCTCAATCTGCATTCTACAAATTCTTCATTTATTGTTTTGGCAGGCGACTTCAATTTACCCCACATTGACTGGAACAGCACAATGTCATTAACCAATTGCGAGATTTCCCACGCCATTATTGACATAGCATTTCTCTATAAACTCCCACAAATTGTTAATATGGCTACACATATCACCCCTGAATGCAGATCGCTACTAGAACCTTATTTCGTTTCGGAGTCAATGGAACCGCTAGGCGCACTAGCTAGAGTTATGAAGGGACTATCGGATCACGGACTCATTGTCTGTGGCTTGCTTCGAGTTGCTAGGGTAACGGCTCCAAGACCAAATAAGCAGTACACAGATTAAAACGGAGCTAAACACACTGATATTATAGGCTATATGGAGGTAGCTTTCTACCATTTCTCCAATGCACGAAAACTAAACGGTGTCTGCCCAGCACACCCTAGGGTCCTTCTTTAGTCGTGCGTCAATAGCTTTGTTTCGCTACGCTCCAAGAAAGTAAAAGTAAACACCCATGGATAACCCGTGAAATTTTGATTTTGAAGCGCCAGATTAAAAGGATAAGAGGAAATAACATGAACATTGGCGCCTATACATTAAAGTTTTCATAAATGACTGCAGTCAAAAATAAAAAGCACGCGATGCCTTTTCTTTTATGTAGCATATTTGTAACACATTTGGGCATATTTAGCTAAGAACAGCAACTCAGTGACTGCGATCAAGCTTGACGATAACATAGATGATGACAATGAGAAAATATTGAACGTGTTCAACAAGTTTGTTTCATCGTTCTACACGACCGACAACTCTCAGTTGTCATCGTACAGTGGGAAACATATCACAATTCTGGACGTTGTAGTGTCCAAAGCAGAATTTATTTCAGCGGAGCTGTAGAGGGCTAGGTTTCCCAGTATCGTGTCCGTGGGCAAACAAATCTCTACACTAAATTCTGGACGGCTACCGCCATCTATTTGCGACGGCGGCCACCAGACACAGCTTGCCGGTTGTCTGGTTGCCGCTGTCGCTCATAGATGGGGGAAACCTTTCCAGCCTTTCTACTTTGGCTGGGCGACTTACCGCCGGCCATTATTTCATTCCTACCATAGTACAGCTTCGCTAGTCCCTTCCTTCTGCATCAAAATAAAAAAAAAAAACTTTTTTTTTTATTTGTTTTGGTTTGACGTTAAGAAGTCCTGCGGGCCCGATGAGATACCAAAATATTTTTTTCTGTAGATACGCCGAATGGTGCTCTGAATTTGTATGTGTCATTCACACTCGCAGTTTTGATACTGGAGTGATAACTAGTGATTAGCAGAATGCCAGGGTTGTCCCAGTTTACAAATCCCTGGCAGTGCCTAGGATCTACAAAATCACAAGCCAATATCGTTGTTATGCTCATGTGGCAAAGTTATTGAACATTTTTTATGCAACCACCTAATAGTCTTTCTAAAAAAAAACCTTCCGCAGTGAGCAACGCGATTTAGGCGTGGCCTATCGACAGTCACGGAACTTTTACATACAGTTCACGTACTAAAGAAAACACTCGACGAAACCAGTCAAGCAGACGTCGTATTTTTTTTTAACTTCGCTAAGCCGTTCGACCGTGTCTCACCCCAAACTTTTGCACAGTTGAAGCACATTCTTAAAAACAACAACATAGTCAAATGGCGACTATTATCTTACTAACCGTACACAGTTCGTGACCGTCAACTGTCGCAAATCTTAAATGGCAGACGTCGTCTCCGATGTACCGCAGTGGTCGATGATGATGGGACCTTTCCTGTGTTTGTGTTTTATTAACAACCTTAAAGTAGGTCACACTTCCATGCAATGTCATTTCTTCGTGGAAGACTGCGTCATGTTTTCAAAAGTAATATGTCATGCCAATCAAATCGACTTAAACGATTGCTTATCGCAAGTATTAACATGGTGTGAGAAATGGTAAAAGGTGCTCAACGCTTCGAAATGCGTCCACGTGACAGTCATTAATAGAAAACAACCGCTTCCCTTCACCTACACTATTGGCGGTGTCCGTTTAGAAACTGTCCCAGACTACAAATACATCGGCGTCACACTAACTTCAAATCTATCTTGAAATTCGCATCTCAGCGACATTACGAGAACAACAATACAGTTATGGTTTTTGAGAAGGAACCTACGCGACTGCACATTTTCGACTAAATCAGCAAGGTATAAAAGCCTTATTCGCCCCGTGCTAGAATACTCAGACGTAGTATAGGACCCACGGTTGCAAACGAGCATTAATGCGCTGAAATTGTTGAAAATAAAGCCCTGCGGTTCATCTACAATCGGTTTGACAGACGATCATCGATAACGGAACTCCACCAGCAATCGGGTTTGCCGAACCTTGCTATACGAAGGAAAGCTAACAGGCTAAAAATGTATTTCCTGCTTTTCAACAGCATGAGTGGTCAGATATTAACCGACTACGTTGCAACCAACGCGTCATTTAGCCAAGGCGAAAAACGATAAAACAATGGACGAGACTCCCTCCAGAGCTGGTTGATCTAGACTCCCTCGAAACGTACTCTCTCGGCGTGCTGTCACCCCTATCCAATGACATGCGCAACATATAATTAAGAACTGACACACATAACAGCTGATATAAATAACAGCTGTATTAATATCGCTCTGCCACGAATCGCTGATGTATTTCACTCCTCATTTATTTAATTTGTTATGTTTATGTTACACGTGTGTTATCCACTGCTATACTGATGACTTATCACGCTGTTCAATGCAGGATGTTTCGTTCTTTTGTCTGTGCTACATTATGTTACTGTGTACTTATGAATCTGTTCAACTCATGATGTTTCGTTTTTGCTGCACTAGCAGTACTCGAGTGCTGCCTTGACCTCTGTACAGCAGGTTCGAGCACTGGGGCGAGACTGAAGGCTAGTTCACACATTCGCGACGGTTGCGTTAGCATACAACCGAAACAACCGTAATGGCCAAAACACCGCAACAACCGTGACTTATAGAATGCTTCGCGAAGCTACCCCTTGCATCGCTTGCCATGCTGTTTACGGCGAACACTCGTCCCGGTGACTTTCTCGTTACGGGCACTTCGGTCGCATGCGATTGCAACCAACGCAGATGCGTGAACCAACCTTGACTCCGTACGGCGCGGTGCCGCTTCTTTTGAGCCTTTCCTGCGAGCCTGGAACATTCTACCTCGTTCGTTCTGGAAGTATAGATTCTGCGCATGAAGAAGCTACAAGGCTCTCCAGCGCTCTTGAATCTTCTACTTGTATAAAAAATAAAAAAACGATACGCGGTGGCGGTATTCAAACACCGGCCATCTGCGTGGGAGGCAAAGGCGCTGGCTACTTGGCTAGCTGCGTCTTTTTTATTGTTCTTGGCTAGCTGCGCATGCGGCATTATGTCAATAAACATTATTTCTATGCGGAAACCTAACATAATTATTTTATTATTTGTACGGTTTTACTTAGATTCTGCCGTCCTTTGTTCTCCTAACAGACGCAAATCTTAGAAGGAATGTGAGATGAGTGCATGACTTGGAGACTAGAAACACGCAAACAAAATTGTGCAATATTTTCTTGAGTGTTGGGAAGATGTAACGAGTAACGTAACTATTTTACCCGTTACTCTAAATAAGTAACGTAAGTACATAATCGGTTATATCTTTTTAAATGTAATAACTACGTTAATTGTTACTGAAAATAGTAACTCGTTACAGGTAGCGCCGTTCTTTGTGACGCGTTACCGCCAACACTCAATAAAAGGGGTCCTTTCTCAGCGCGCTCTTGTCTAACAGACGTGTGTTTCCCTCCCTCTATTTTTCTTCTTGCGGGTGAAGACGCCCACGGAGTACGAGGCCGAATACAACCTGCTCCGGACGGGCGAGTACTCCCGCTTCCACGGGTACGCCTACGACGGCATCTGGGCCTTGGCGCTGTCCATCCACGCGGTCATCGTGCGCCTGCGTGCCAACGACACGCGCATCTCGGAGTTCGACTACCGACGCCACAGCTGGGGACGCCTCTTCAAGGAGGCCCTCAACGACACCAACTTCATCGGGGTCACGGTGGGTGCACGAAACATTGTTATTATGTCAGGTGTATGTTGAGACAGCCGGAAGCTAATCAGCCGCGAGGGGCGTCTGGTAGAGCTGACGATGAGACATTTAGTCAGTGCGGTACCACTGCTAGCCTGGGGTCTTTGACGTGCATCACAAAGTAGTGACGCACGACCGGACGCCGGTTAGATGTCCATCTGGATCAAAACGGGCAGGGGTGCGTATTGAGCCCAGGATCCCTGTGTTCTGCAGCGCGCTCCGATATGCTGTGCGTTAGCACGCTCGGGCACCGATCTCCCGGGAGGACTAAATTAGAGCCACTAAATGAGCTCTGCTTAGAGTATCGGCACTCCGTTCCCGACATTGTTGTGGGCGCCGCCATTTTGGGGCTTGTGCAGGGCAGACGCAACTTCCGATCGTCATGATTCAAAAGTTCGACTTCCTCAGCATTAGATTCGGTGTTAGGAAGCTGATGTAATATTGCTTTGCTTTGTCGCGAACTGTTTAAGCCTTTTTGAAGGGCGGAAAAACGTTTTCAGTGATTTGAGATGAAGCTTCAGATAACTGACAACCATGATTTTAAGCCACAATATAGCCAAGTGTCGTTACTCTGAAGCGTTGCTTATTTGGTGGCACTACACTCTAAGAAATGCCTGCGCGTCAACTTACCCGGAAAACACTCGAAGAGCCAATCTCTGCTATCTTCGAAATCAGCTCAGCGAATGATGATGTGGAACATCTTTTTGTACCTCAAAATTAAGTCTGCGATGTGTCATTACGCAATACAAGCATGACGCTTTGCATTGCGTAATGCCACAGCGCAGACTTTGTTTTTATTTCTAAACGGATATTGCGCCTCATCATTCGCTGAGCTGATTTCGAAGATAGCATAGATTGGCACTTTGAGTGTTTGGCGGGTATATAGACGCGCAGGCATTTTTTAGAGTGGAGACAAAAGCACAGAGTTATTACAATAAACACTAGAGGTTCAGGTGGCGCTAACGTGCTGTTGCATTTGGAAGCAGGCAGCAACCAGTCCAAATTTGTCTTCCGGTAATGCATTCCTATGGGAAAACGCAAATGCGTCTTCTCTTTGCACTCGATTTTAAGGGTAAATTTTGCTTAGTGTTGCGACAGAACTGAATGTTTGGAACGTTTTACAAACGGCTGTACAAAAATACGTGTCAGAGCGTTTTTTCTTGAAATTGATGGCGTCGATACTGCGATAAAATAACCCAATACACACGTGTAATACATGTTGAAGTCGCAGACTGCTATTATAGGGAACGTATTTACGCATATGGTCAATGCTATGAAGCACACAGAGTGAATCAGCTTGACGAAAACCAAGAAGATGCTAATACATGCCAAATCAAACAATCGAAACAGCCGACAAGAACGAAGCATGGAGTTATAGAACGAAGAACACGTACTGGATTAGTACGTGTCTGTTACAGCTTGAATGCTATTACAGCTTGAGTAAACCCTATGCACTTTTCGATTGTTCCCTTTGCTTAAATTCATAATTTCTACTGACATATCATGCTGTACAACATAGACCCTGGGCATCAATTTTTCCTAACGTAAAAATAGCTGAGTAATAAAAGAAAATGCATTAAATATATAACTTATCCTTTTATAATATGAATAAAGCTACATAGTTCACGTTAAGAGTAAAGAAACTACGCTGATTTTTATTATTCTCTGGCGAAGAGAAAAATATCACGTACGTTTTCCCATAAGAATGCACAGCAAGATTGGAAAAGTAGACTGATTTCTCTCTGCTTCAATTTGCAACAGTAAGTCCCGTGGGCACTAACGCCAGCTAAGCCTCTAGCGTTGATTGCAATAACTCTATGGAATAGAGTCACTGGATCCTGGGAAAGTAGCGCCACTGCCTTCTCTGCCTGCTTACCGAACACCAAAAAAAATCTTACATACAGACGACCAAAACATCGCAACGCGATTGGCTAATAGATCTCCGTTGTTATGGCAAACGCCATTTCGGCCCCTTCGAATCTTCGAAACTTCCAGAGTTTCGCTCTAATCCAGTCGCACGAAGACCACTAGGAAGCATCACCGTACTCAAGGCGTTCCTCGCCAATATTAACGTCTTTGGCGCTGTGCATGCAATCAACTTATCAGTCATGCCCAACGACACAGATATCTTAAAATTGTATTGTTCTTCGCTGGTATTTCAAAAGAGAAAAAATAGTTTCCAGTGCCTCCAAGCATCGACAACGCGTGTGTGGCGGTGGTACAAAGACGCACGCTTGTTTCGGCGAGGTGGATAGCAAACTCTCGGTATACGAGAAACGTCACAATATATTTAGATCGGCACACGAAGAATGGAGAGGGCAAGGAGGGATTACTCATTTTGTGAACCAAAATGGCGACCATATGAGGAGCTTGGCGCTATTTTTGCACGATTCAGTTTCTTTAGGGTGGACGATACAATTACCCATACGTCATAGGCAGTATTAGCGGAGTGTTACCGCTTGTGGGAAGTCAGACGTTGTTTTGTTGTTTTTTTTTTTCTCGCAAACTCTCCCATTTGTTCTTCTGTCTTGACTTCTGTTGGCAAAAACCGATGGTGTTCGTTCTTCTAATACTTTAGAAAGACAGATTTCCGTTTTGTAGTTCTATTAATACTTCTACTACAAAAAAAGTGTTGGAGAAAATGTGCGCACACTACGTCTGACACTCTAAGAAATCGAGTGCCTCCACTTCCCGGCAAAACACTTGGGCGAGAGAATCGCTGCAACCTACGAAAAGAGCTCGGCCAATGACGGGACTGAGAATGTAGGCTGTCCCAAGATGATTTTTCGCTTCAATACGAGCCGCGAAAATCGGCGCCTGCACGAATAAAGCTGTAACTTTCATGCAATGTGCAAACGACCAGGTAAGTTTTACCGCGTAAAACTTTTGAGGCGCAGTATTTTTTTTTTGCAAGAAATTAGCGCGAAAAATTTGCCAAAGCCAAGGTTATGCTTGTTCGCAGGTGACCGAGTTAGCGACCCTATTTACTTGGGAAGCCATCTCCCGATGGGCGTGGCTGGGCGTGGCGAGCAGACGGAGCTCCCTGTTGTCTGCTCACTGCCCTACGAAGAAATTGCGCCACAAGTTAATAGCGTCGGTAACTTGGTCGACCTCGAGGGGGCCTAACGCGAACTTTGCAAGCTCTTTTTTTTTTTATCTATTTTCTACAAGGACAACGTCTTTAAATTTCACACGGTAAAGTCTCCCCGCTCAGCGCACATCCGGTTAAAAGTTGAGCTTTCATGTACAGGCGCCGATTTTTGCGGCTCGTTTTATGTCCGGAGATCCGCTTGGGAGACCCGATATGATATACCTAAAAATAACAATTCTAGTTGTGGCATTTCGCGTGACGTCAGCACATGAAACTTCATCATGACTATCGCAGCGCAGATTCTTTTCTTCTGAAGATGTCTTCAGCCTTGTAACTCGCCGACTTCCCACCTTAGACTGCAGCAACTGGACCTTCCGAGGGATTTCCGAGAAAGTAGAGGCGCTCCAGATTTCTTCGAGTGAACAGCTGATATTACGAACCAGGAAACATTTTGTATTCTCCAGACTATATGAGTGACGTTAGAGTCGGGGCCGTCACTCAAGGTTTTCTCTTACCCCAATGACATTCGTGTCTGTCTTTTTTTTTGCGGCAACTTTCCAGGGACCCGTGCGATTTTTTCGCAATGAAAGGAAAGGTCAGATCCTCCTCAAGCAGTTTCAAAGTGAGTTGAGTGTTCTCGCTACTCGCGGAAGTGTTTTTAGTGTGTTTAGTCCATGCAGTCTCGTGTTTTTTTTTCTTTTTTTTTTTTAAGATTGGCTTTATAAAAAGAAAGCGAAAAACAGCGGGTTCTTTGTACACTTGTATTTTTTCCTAAAATTTATATTACCCATATTTACCTATCGCTGATTAAACAGTACCCGAGAAGAGATCAAAAATTATAAACGAACCATTTTTGATTTTCTGGCTTCCGCGCTTTGTTACAAATTCCGAAAAGTCCTAGTTTACATCACTGATTCGTCCAAGTCGGCGTAACAGCAGGATCGAACGCTGGGGCGAGACAGACTCCGCTCGCCATGCGGAGTCCCTTATGTACGCGCGTGGCCCGTACAACATTCAGAACTCGATCAGACGAGAATGTTCTCGAACCTACGAGAACACCAAGTTGAAAGAATAAATAAATAAAAGGACATTCCGCTGACTGGAATCGAACATGGTTACCGCGCGGCAGCCAAGCGCGGTAACCATTCGGCCACGCACGCGCTCGCTCGGCGACGCGCGTGGCAATATTTTGTTTCAGTTTAACTTGGCAAAACTTGGTAATCCGGTTAGCCAATCAGAGCTAAGGAGCGAGGCACGTGACTGCGTTCCACCAATGTGCGCTCCTCCTGTGAGAAAGCTATCACGCGCTATAGATCGTCGTTCTTATTGTCTCAACGACCAGTTTGATTGGTCGCTTGAATGAGGATCTCAAGTGACTAGAGCCCGAGGCCAGCTTCCCTTAAAAAATGATCAATGAGTTTCGATTGAGCTTCTAATGTATTCTTATAGACTCAATTGAAACAGTGTAAACTCAAGGCTTAATGATTTTGAAATAAGAAACTCAATAACAATTCTGTTCCATTTACTCATTAAGAATGCAATTGAGTTTAATCATAAGAAACTCAATATCGACTTTATTTAATGTACTCATTACGAATGCACTTGAGTATGATCCTTAAGAATTTAATATATATTGTTTTGAATTTACTTCTTAGGAATGCAGTTGAGTTCGGTCATAAGAAACTCAGGATCGATTTTATTCAATGCATCCATTAGTAATGCAATTGAGTTTGGTCATTAGAATGAAAATATATATTATTTTGAATTTACTCATCAAGAATGCGATTGAGTTTGCTCATTATGAACTCAGTATTTATTTATTTGAAACTGCTCATTAGATATGCAAACGAGTGTGGATTTAGCGGCTGTACCGAACGATCATTCCCTGCACCAAGATGCTTTTGTCTGTTTTCTCTTTTTATTAAGGGATAGGGTCTAATGACGTCGAAACACAGTTTATCATTTATCATACCTCCTAGGAGGAGATAGCATACTGGGAACCTTAATAAATGCTGAGGTGGTCACCGGCCAAATGAATACCTTTCATACGTAGGGTATATAAGGCGGTGGAGTAGTCAAGAAGAGTGTGATTAGTGTGTTGTGAGTTATTTATAATGTTTGTGTTCCATGCTTTCAGAAATTATAAGATGAAAAAACCTCACATGTGGCAGAAATTGCTTGTCAAAGAAATTGCAAAAAAAAAAATTGTATTGAAGAACAGTTGCAAAAATATTTTGGAAGACGATTGCAAAACTTCAATTGAAACACTATTGCCAAAGCTTCAATTAAAAGGCAATTGCTAAAACTTCAATTAAACGCAGTGGCCAATGCCCTGCGAGGGTTCAATAGGACTCAAAATAAATAACCTATTAAGTTTCAATTGAGACTCGACGCGGTGTATTGAGTGAATCATTTACACATTCCCTTGGACCTCCATTCATTTTGCTTGTAAGACGAATATTGAGCTTCTGAGCGTCGCAGATAGGACAATGTGTTCAGATACTTCCGAGAGCCTGCGATAGCGAGAACTTTATGAAGGAAAAACACAGGCTTTAATCTAAGCCCTAGTTTCAGTTGGCTATTTTGTGCTTGGGTTAAACCGAGAGAACAAAAACAAAGACGCAGAAAGGATAGAGAAATAAGCCATTGCTCATAAAAAAGGACAGTCAGAATTGGGTTCGAAGTCGTGCAATGCTCAAAACGTTACGCAAGAATCTCGTCTCGGTTAAGAATTCTACCGAGACACTGGACGACTTCAGGAATTGTTCCGTTTTCAAAACATTGAACGGACCTGAGCCCATCTTAAGCAATTTGTGTAGCAATACCTGCCTGTTTTTGTTGTATCCACTAATTAAAAAAAGCAGCGCAAACAACACAAGAACCAGAGAATGCGGACACAAGGACAGAAATGATTCCCGACCGTCGTTTCCTTTTTCGTTCACCAAAACACTCGCAAATAAATGTAAAAAATATACACCCACTTGCCCACTACAGAGTGCCCAAAAACGACCTTTTTTCACCGCAAAAATAAAATACGCATCCCCGAACGCTCATTCTTTACCCAAAAATAGCGCTAAATGTCCGAACCAGATGCCAAAGTTTGCTCTTATCTTAGTGAAGGTACAAGTGATTTTCTAAAATGTTCAATGAAAAAATGGAGGCCCATTTTCGCCCGTTTTTGGTAACAAGCGCCATAGAGCTACATGTACTCGAGAGCTCTGTCAGCCGTCATTTTCCCATCGAAAATTTCCAAAGATAATATAACTTTTGAATGAGAAAACAATTTAAGAATTGTCATCTTATTCAAGAAAGGTTTGTTCGTAGATAAAAATTAGTCGTGAAACTTTGGCACCTGGTTCGAACCTCTAGGGCTACATTCGGGTGAAGAATGTGCGTTCGGCGATGCGTAGTTTGTTTTTGCGGTGAAAAAAACCTGCTATTATTTTTTTTGATGGGGACTCTTTGAAAACTAACTGACAGATTAGCAAGCGCAGGGCCTAGCGAGTTCAATGAGGCCCAGTAGACCATATGCAAAATCACTCGAACGTCTGGCAACACTCTGTGCGCAGCCATCTTCGTTGCGCCCAGATTCCTCCGCTATTTGTCAATTTTCGTAGCGTTATCGGTAACAGTCGGGGCCTTCTGCTCACCGTCATCGATTCTCACCCACACATATGCGAGCTAAGGGTTAGTATTGTTTTACGCTCTTCTTTCGCATGTACGTGCCCGTCGCCCCGCCGGTCGCTGGCTACTCGGCGCAACCTACATGGCGGATGTAACTTCAGCTCGAAAGGTAGCTTTGAGAGCCGGCCAAGGCACGGGTGCCTGGTTTTCGAAAGGGCTTTCTCTGCGCGAATGCTCGTGTGAGCTAAGGACTCTTCGGAACTGCGCTTTCGCGCCCTGGCCTTTGCCAGCGGCGAAGCCATCTGGTGACCCCCCGTCCCCAAATTAGATGGCGCTGTGCATCTCGCATATAGTCTATTAAATAATTAGTTTTTTGTCTATGTTTTATCTACTACCGATATTTTGGAGACATCGTTTTCCCAGACGTCCTTGCTCAACAAAACACAGCTTCAAGACGAAACATTAAGCGGGCCTTACGGGCAGAGTCCCGCAGCTGGCTCCCTCTATACTCCGCGTGACATTACGTCCGACCCCAGCCGACGCTACAGTCCGATCTAGCCAGTCAAGCAGCGCCAAAATCTACGGCTAAACCAATCACGGCAGGAAAACCCGCAGGATCACGACACATTCCCTTTACTTGATTGGTTTCGCCAGTGACGCACAAAAGGTATGAGCGCCATGACTATGCACTTTTGGCGCTTCCCAACTGTCTGTGTACCAAAACTGCCGCGACCACACAGTCTACTCTTGAACACGAAGAAACGAAGACTTCCGGAGCAATATTAAAAGTATATATCCTCTTTCTTTCTTTATCTTTCTTCCTCTCTGACTTCTTTGGTCTCTGACCAACCCCCTTTTTTGTTTGTGTTGCTCCCATAGAATTTTGTTACTAGAACATTCAATTTATGCGCCCTGAAAAAACTGTATGTTTGAGCTTCAGAATGTTGGACTTTGAGAATTCTTGTGTTTTGGAATTTTTCAAGTACCTAAAAGATACAAACTCATGCATCTAGTTAGCTTTTTAAATGCCTCGGCTTCGTAAGCTCACTCCAAACCGAAAAACATGATTCATGAAAGTATTAGCGAGTCTCTTCGATGCCTCTCGAAGCAAAAAAACGTTTCCCGATGATTGTGTTGTTCCTTTGCCACGCGTCACTCAAGGTTATACTGACCCAAAGCGTGACGTACGTGACCTTATGTATATCGCCTAAGTGACGGCGTGCTACGTCGAGGTCACGGCAGTAAACGGGGATAGGTTCAAGTTTTCGTAGACCGTTTAAGCCGTCCTGCAACGCTCTCCGCTGTCCGTTATGAGATCCAGAAGCCCGCAGACAAGGAAAGCGGCGCGCATGCGCAGTGCCGGTGGTGTCATTGAGGAGAGCGTTGCAGAGGGAGAAACACGGTCTACGAAAACTTCCTCTTTTGACTCGAACTGTTCGACGGGCTTTTACCTGAAACGTTGTCTTCCGTTCCACGCAGAAGGAGAGGAGGTGAAGATTGGCGAGTACGACTGCCTTACCGATGCCTTAGACCTCGCCAAGGGTTTGCCAATTATATGGCGAGGTAATGTACATCTACTGATCTTCGTTCTTATGGCCCCTTATTACGTGCATCGAAGCGCTAAATGAGCAGTGAACAGCGCTGAGGCAGCGATGATTCGAACGTAGCTTAGCACTGGCTGCAGCGCTGTCGGCTCTGAATGACCAATAAAGCGTGAAATCAGCAACATCAGCGCAACTTACAGCACTGACTAAAAGCGCTGAGGTACAGCTGTGGTATATTTTAAGGATAGGCATTTATTGTGCCTCGTTCCGAATTTGTATTGTATCGCTTTTATCTCAAAATGTTTCAGAGTTAAAATTGCGGTCGATTAAATTGAACTTGAGAGCATAAGTTAGTGGTATTACTTTAATTGAACTACACTGATTCAATTTTATCATTAAAACAACGCTGGGACCATAGCAAGCGACAACTTAAAAAACGCCGTATGTGGATTACTATGTCACCGCTTATTGCTGGGTGGTTCGTTTGTGTTCTTATCGGCTGATGCCACGACCTCGCTAGCGGCAGCGTGATAAGAGGATGCTTTGGACACGCCTCGCCTTTCTTAAGCTGTCTGTGACGACAAAAACAATTGGCAGCCACCTTTATCTACAAAGTCCTCTAAAGGAGAAAACTGGACGCATGGCTTACGTGGCGCCAATCTTTCCGCTATGCCTAACGGGGAAACTAAAGCTGACGTATAGATCGTGTGATGTCAGTTTTTCTGCTAGCTGTAGGGGAGAAATTATTTTGATGAGTCAATGTCGTCAGGTGATGTCACGTCAGGTGACGTCAATTTCCTCGCTAAATTTAGCGGGGTAAAGGGATTTGTGTGTGTGTCGCGTGACATCAATTGACATCACTTGACCTAAACACCAATATAGTTTCCCCACTAAATTTAGGGGGAAGTGCACGGACGGAAAACATTTGGGGATTGGGGTTGGGGGTGGGAAGGTCGTTTAAAAACGTTTCGTGTTTTAAAACATAATATATACCACACGTAAACTTTGCAACTTTGAGCTTACATCTCTATGTGATGTTCTTCTGTTGGTGTCTTTTAATGTTACGAGCTTAGCAGCGCAGTTTGATCAATGATCGATCAAGCAACCATAGTGACCGACAGCTCAAAAAGCTTAGGGGCATGCGAGTCCTTGAGCGACATATTGTAGCTCCACAGGCAATGGGATTGCGCTTTCCAGCTGATAAAAACTCCTGAGAACGAATCAAGAAGTGAGAAGCCATTAGAAGCGACACACTGCGTTGCTTAAACCTCTCCGTGGGCACGATCACAAGCAGGGAATCGTTCTCTGAGTGGAATTGACTTGACAAATCTGGTTAGCAAAGTCCTTGTTGGAAATTGGAAACATGCAGAGTTCCCTGAAACGACAGTTTCCGCTCAAAGAAAGCTTATAAATACAGCCGCCGAGCCAGGGATTTATTTCGTTAACAGGACGCGGTCAAGGGTACAAATACTCTTGGCAGAAGCCACGTAATTTAAGATGGTGTCCAGTGGTGTATCCAAGTGTTGCATCTTCATAACTCTAATATCGCAGTCAGCATAGCACCGATTGGGTCATAACGGGTCGATAACCTACAAATATTTAATGTGCCACGTTTAATCAGTTTTAATGATACGCTACTACAAATAAACCTATTTATTGTGTTGATAGCTGAAGAATAATGCTGAGATCGTAGATCACATTATAACAGGAGCGTACGACATGATCCATAATGCAATTAATGCTTGACTATGACGTCACACACGTCACAATGTGACGTTATCCACATTTTGTGAGGACTACGAGCCTCCGCCATGTCTTGTGCACGCATGATCAAATGTGTCGTTCGCCATATGACATGTCACAACGATCTCAACCATTGAGACAAATCGTGATCGTACTTCACGGGTGGGAACAATGAGGAACCGCCACCAAAACTTCTCACTTTTAGTTACTTTGCAGAGTTGCTTGGAATTTAACATTGTCAAAGTCAAGGACTTGGCAGCACTGTGGTGTCTTTTCGTGGCAATTCATAAGAGAAATGTGAGAGTAAATCCCTTCGATCGGCGCTCAGGACGCGTGAGCGCAAAGGGGCATCGCTTCACCGAGTTGTTCCCAAGTACACACCTTCCCAGCGCTTATCACCCGTGCGAAAAATGCCGAGCCAATGGGCCGTGGACGCATACGCGCCGTCTGACAATCCGCGGAAAAGAGCTACTGCCTGCTGGGCCGTAGTACGCATTCTGCGCAAGCGCACAATGCATACTACGGCCCAGCAGACAAAGAAGACGGCGCAAAGATGGCGGTTCTAGCTCGCCAATTCGGTCTGGGTGAACGTCGCAGGAGGGCTGGATCCCCCGATGGACCGGACCCTGATCGTGATCGAGAGGACGCGCGTGAACCTGACCATCTACGCGGTCCTGTGCATCCTCTGCGTGCTGGGAATCATTCTGGCGTCCGTCTTCCTGGTCATCAACGTCAAGTTCAGAAACCAGAGGTACGTGCGGTTCCAAGCAACGTTACTATATAGGTAAAAGTTAGTTGACAAATTCCTAGAACATATGGAGCTTTTATCGTGGCGCGCTCGCTGCGTGGCGCTCGCTCTGCTATCAGCCGGCATGGACAAAAACGGCGGAATCGGCGTAACGTTAGACGTTACATTGCCTGTGGTGGAGAGTGAATGTTTCGTGGATTTAATGGTGAACGTAAATTTTGCACAAAATAAGCGTCGTTCGGAAGCGGTCCTTCCCCGTCGTCCGTGGGAGCGATGCTGCTGGTGTGCGCTAGGATCGCTATCCCCCTTACCTGCATGCTCGCGTGCGGCCAAAAGGGAAGAACTGTTTTCGAAAGACGCTGTTTCGTAGAGCTTATCAACTCATAGACCTAAGAACGTTGGACCCAAATGTATGTGCCTCTGCACTCCCTCGAGCCAGCGACAAAAAACTCAAATAGTAATAAAGCTTTTACTGGGAAGCTGTTTATGACCAAAGAATGAAGCTCTAGGTTGTTGTTGTTGTTTTTCTTCATTAAACGTAATCTATGCCACAATTTCCGCTACTTCAATTACGGAGCACAGGGCAGTGGAGCCACCTCTCGCATGCGAGCGAGCCGTGAGCTTCGCTCAACATGGCGCGGTCGGTAAGCGGCGGAGCGCTATAGTACCGCTACCGGGTCAATAAATACGTCGAGTTGTAATACCTGACGCCTTTATGGCACTTTATGGCGAAGCCATAAAGTCTTTTTTTTACCCTCGGCGCAACGTCTGCCATTTACGCAGAATCGGTTATTCGGAACAGGAGCTCCCGAGCGACCGGCGGCCTTTCATCCATGAAGGTACGAAATTCCTCGCCGGTTGTGTGGCGGAAATTGCCCGGGAGTCGAAATATAATATAATAATCGAAGCGAGCCGTTGGCATAGAAACCCCTGGAACGCCGGCAATCGCCTGGCCTCGGTTTCTTTCATCTCGAGCTGCAGTCACTCTGCTAATACGTTATCAGTAAAGAGGGTATGTAGACACTGTCTGAGGTTTCTTTCTTGTGTGGTGGTGCTGTATCGTTGGTCACACAAAAAAGGTCTGCAGAATTGTGCGGAGAGTGTATGAAGCAATCTAGCTTCGAACATGCTTGACGAGTCTTCGCGCACAATTCTGTCATCAGGTCTGCCACAAACACCGTGTTTCGTATAATCTGTGGGCAGTGTGACCGCAGCTTGTAAAAAATTGAAGTTGTTTACCATTCCCTGTAATTCCGAATTAGAGCGCAGCTCTTGAGGAGGAGGAGGAGGAAGCGGGGAGTGTATGCCCGCGTGACGACACGAAAGTGACTTCACTCGTGACCCTCGTGACGTCACACATGACCCTCATGACGTCACTGGTGACCCTCGTGGTGTCAATCGTGGCCCTCGTGACGTCACTCGTTGCACTCAGGACGTAACACAGACGTGACCTTCGTGATGTCACTCGTGACCTTTGTGACGGCGATGGTGACGACACTGGTTACCTTCGTAACGTCACTCGTGACGCTCCTGATGTCACTGGTTACCCTCGTGGCGTCACCGGTTACACTCGTGACGTCATTCGTGTCCCTCGTGATGTCACTGGTGACCCTTGTGACGTCATTCGTCAACCTCGTGACATCCCTCGTCGCCCTCGAGACGCCACTCATCGCTGTCGTGACGTCACACATGACCCTCATGACGTCACTGGTGACCCTCGTGACGTCACTCTTGACGTCAGTGCCGACCTTCGTGACGTCACACGTGACGCTCGTGGCGTCACACGTGACCCTCGTGACGTGACTGGTGATCCTCGCGACGTCACTCGTAGCCCTCATGACGTCACGTGTGACGTCACGCGGTGACGCCGACGTCGCTCAAGCCTGAAACTGGCGCCTAAGAGCTGCGCTCTAAAAATAAAGACGTTTAAAATTTTCTCTAACGGGAAATCAGAGCGCAGCTCTTGAGGAGCAGGAGGAGGGGAGGGTACGGAGGGGATAGTATGCCCCTCCTCCTCCGTACCCTCTCCACTTCCCGTTCTCTACTCCTCGTCCTGCTCTCCCCTCCTCCTCTCCCCTTCTCCTACTTCCATCCTCCTCCCCTCCTCCTTTGCTACTCCGTACCTTCCCCTCCTCCTCCTCCGCACGTGACGTCGATTTTTCCCCTAAATTTAGCGGGGAAACTGAATTGGTGTTGAGGTCACGTTACGTCAATTTTCCCGCTAAATTTAGCGTGGTTATGCCGAAGCCGCGAAACCCGGAAACTGACGTCTAAGAGCTGCGCACTAAAACATATTGGCGAATGACGAAGCATAGAATACGATTAGATGTAAGAAAATGCGAAGTGCTGACTACAATGAGCGGGAGCGGACGTCGTCCTCATTGTCTCTGAGTGCATCACATTTTCTTTTTTGTCTATTCGCACGCTTCGATTTGTCATTCGCTAGGATCCTGTTTATTGTTCGCGGTGATTGGGTGTCTTCCTGTTCCGCAGAGAAGCGCACTCACGCACTCTTCTTTAGAGGATAGCGTCCGCCCTTTGACGAGTCATCCTGAAACGGAGTATTCACACACTCTAAAAAAGTTATGCGGGTATACTTTCCCGCACAGCACTCGGAGAGCCAATCACCGCAACTTACGAGGGAGCTCAGCGAATGACGATGCCGAAACATCTGTTTAGACCAAAAAACGCCGTCTGAGTTTTGACATGAAGCAATGCAAGCGTGACGTTTTGCATTGCTTAATGTCACAACTCAGACTGCGTTTTTTGGTCTAAACATATATTCCGGCATCGTCAGTCGCTGAGCTCCTTCCGTAAGTTGCGGTGATTGGCTCTACAAGTGTTGTGCGTGAAAGTATACCCGCAGACTTTTTTTAGAGTGCACATCGAGACAATGCGACGCCAACCAGCGGGTTTCACCTTCAGGATCGGAGAGCTCACGCTCGTTGAAATGTGGAGCGAAACGTTCCGCGACCGGGCTGCCTAAATGTGAAACGGAAGAGCGGAAATTAAATGCGCATCCTTATAGCCGCACAAAGCACAAATACTCGCGGGTGAACAACGACGAAAGGAAGAATAACACACTTAAGGCCAAAGGGACGACGGACACTTCTTTCAACTCGCAACAACATAGATACAGTGCATTGTCTTTGCGATTTCATCTTCCATCCGACAATGCAACTTTTCTGTCACACTTTTTTTTTGTCTCCGTTTATTCTGTATTTACTATATCACTTTCTTTTTGTTTCTTCTGGGCGGGGCTGGGTTCATAAATACTCCGCTAGGAGTTCGTATATCTCTGTTGTTGCGCGTTGAAAAAAAAAGTGCCCGTCGTCCCTTTGTCTGAAGTGTGTTAATTTTTTGTCGTCTTTGTCCAATAACCAACACGCTCCCACGTTTATGTACACGCGTGTGGCGGCCCCAAGTCATAGACTCTTTCCGAAATCCCATCGAGCACCATCGGCGATCGCCATTCCTCGGGCACGAAATGTGTGGCTGGATACGAGATTTTGCCTAACGCTGTCGCAGCACTCGTTCATCTAACGAGCTGAGCCGAACGCACGCTCGGAATGCGTGCCCGAACATTTGGCAAAATCAGGTAAGTTATTAGTAGGGTGTGTATTTTCCGGTTTTAACCAAAAAACACCGATAAACATCCGTCGGTGACGAAAATACAAAATCGGTTAAAACCGAAAAACACCGGTGGTTGGATATTTTCGCCCCGGTTAAAGCCTAAAAACACCGGTCGTTGCACGTTTCCGACCTAGCGAAACCCTTTCCATGTAGAAGTTCGTCAAACGTGTTATCTCGTGGATCCTGCATTCTTTCAGTGTCTATACATGGCTTGCACGTGGCGTCAGTCCGCCCTCCTTTCTGGGGGTGAAAAGCGTATAGTTAACGCAGTGAAAGCTAAGCTCTCACACGCCTTTCCCCCATTGTGTCGCTCATGGCCCCCTTTTGTGGAAACATTAACGCAGCGGAGGGTACGCTTTCACGTGCCTTTTCTCCATTGTGTCTGGCCAAGTAATGTCGGTGCAAGCCATGTATTCAGAGGTTGCTGTCGTTCCTGGAAGGGAATGCCAACGTCCGTGTCGTACAGGGCTACTGAACTTTCAGAACTGAGATGCGTTCCTTGTTATCTGTTTAGTTTCCATGGGCTTTTGGGGAAACGGAAAAAGGGTTTTGTTGGCGGGGGAGTTTTTCGGCTGTATATAAAAGGACCGTTCTGTAAAAACATTTGCAGACGTGTTTGAGAAGGCACGTCCGTCCCGCGTCTGCGGGTTTTCTCAACGTGAGACTTGCTTCCCTTCGTCGTCACGCGGAGTAGAAGGCCACCAGGATGGGAAGTAAGCGGAAAGCTCAGGATGACTACGCTACAGATTTCATGGATGAATCGTCGTTCTGGTTCCGCGTGTCAATTGTTAATCCGTGCATAAACGTGGAGCTACCAGAGGGATTTGTGCCTTATGAAACTATCTATCGACTGGTCCTCCGAGACGAGAGCTAGCTGAGTGACCTAGAATCAGAGTTTCTTTGTTACCGCCAGTATGCTGTGACTAGCACCGTTGATCCAGTGTTATTTTGGAAACTTCATTTACCTGACTGGAGTCTACTGTCCAAAGCCTGGCTGGACATTTTGGGGTTTCCTGTGTCCAGCGAAAATGTGGAGCGTGTGTTTTCAAAATTGCGGGTTGTGAACCGCAAGGAACGTGCTGCCAAGATGGATGCAAACCTCTCGAAGTATGCTTGCATCCACTATAATAACCAAGTGTGAGAAATATATGCTTTCTCGAGAAGTGTATGAAATATGTTAATAAAATTAGAACTCTTTGTCTGTGATAAATCGCATTTTTTTCCACTGATAATCACCGATTTTAGCCTCGTCGTGAGACGTTCCACCGAAATACACCGGTGTTTCGAAAATAAATAAACACCGAAAAACATCCGCCGATTTTTCTCACAAATAAACACCGGAAAGTACACACCCTAGTTATTAGCCATAT